CCCCGGCGGTGACCCGGCTCTGGGCCTCTGGACAGCTCCTGAGGCTCATGGAGCGTGTTTTCTGATGCCCTATGCCCGGAGCGTGGGCCTGCTAACACCGCTGCCCACGAGTGATGTGGACCTAATTCGTTAGACTTAAGATTTCAGAGACCCTAAGAGAAGGGTTTGTGCCTCTGGAGGCAGAGGCCACAGGGTCCCCATTTGGGGCTGTCAGTGACTTGGGTGTGTGTGTGTGGGGGGGGGAGCAGTGGAAGAATTTCTGAGTGTTTTCTTTTGTCCATAAAGTAAAAAGAATTAATGACCTGTATGTATATGTCATCTCTTTGGGGGTAACTTTGGGAGCTAGAGGGATTTACCCCCACTTTTAGATGGAAAAGCCAGGCTGGCAGCAGCTGTTATTAAGGGCTTCCTCTGGTCATGATTTTTCATAGTATCTCACTTCCTAAGGTTGTTTCCAGGATTCCTGTCCCCCGGTTTACAGAACTGGGCATTGTGAGTTAGAAGGCCGGATCCGGGCCAGCCCAGTGGCTCAGTTGGCTCAGAGCTCGCTCCAGAGTGCAGCTCTGAAAAAGAAGGCCGGGTCCCCTGCTGTCGGGGAGCAGACTTGTTCCCTTAGAACAGAACTTCCACATCCCTGCTCTTTGGTATGCTACATGTCCTGTCTTTTGAGGGCTGTGGTTATATGTGCATGTGCCCTTCTTTCCAACTAAATTTACTACTCAGAAAATATATTTTTTAAATGAGATGTAAACATTTTTTAAATGGTTGTCTTCTTGGGAACTGGTGAGGGAAAGACCTGCAGTGTTGCCACTCTGCAGGGGATGAGGGGATGGTGTGGGGGAGGGCAGGGAACTGGGGGAGAAGCTTGGTCATGTCAGGGAGGGGCCGGCTGGGAGGCAAGCCCAGAACTGGGCCTGGTGGAGGTGAGGACCTGGAGCAGTCACTGGGCAGTAGGGCAGGCGGCCCTATGGATGGCCATACCCACCCCATCCCCCCACCCCCCATGGCTCATCTGTCTGCCCCTCTTAACTGCAGCCAGTCTGACTGCCTTATGCTCCTTCGCCAAGTTCTCTCCCCAGGGCCTTTGCATATGTTATTCCTTTTGTACAGGAGGTTTCCCCTACATGTCCAGATGGCTCTCTCTTTGGCTTCTTTCAGGTGCCTGCCCAGGTGTCATCTTCCAGGGGGCCCTCCCTGAATACCTCCTATAAAATAGCAACTTGCCACTCACTCCCTGCTCCTCTTAACGTTACCCCGTTTTCCTTCTTAGCGCTCATGATCCTCTGGCATTATGTATCAGTTTGTTTATTTGATTAGTGTGTGTCTCCCCCATTAGATGGGAGTTCCAGGAGGGCAGGGACCTTGTCTTGTTTACTGGCCTAGAATCTAGACTGATTCCCAGCGTAGAACATGCTCAATAAATACGTGCTCGCTGGCTGAATAAGAGATGCCTGTTATAGGAGAGGCCGACCAGAGTAATAGACCAGGAAAATATTGTAGCACCAGCGTCAAGTAAGAGGCCCAGGTAGCAGCCTTTTGCCTTTCCTCCTCTGTCCTCTTCCCTGTGCCCAGCTGCCCTTCTTGCAGACCCCTGTCTGCCTTGAGTAGAACCTTCCCTTAGAATAGCAGCCTGAAGAAAGAACAGAGGTGACTTCTAGGAAGAGTGGTAAACAGGTACAGATTATTAATAACGAATAACCACTCCAGATCTGGTGGTTGTTTCGTCACTCCCCTTGGAGAATGTCTTTTCAAAGTGCCTTGCTTTCGCCAAAGAAATCCTCCCCTAGGAAGAAGGGCATGACTGTGAGTGGGGTGAAGTCAGAGGCATCTCTGTATCCCAGTCTGCTCTCCCAGCAGGAGGAAGTGGAGAGAGGGGAGGGAGGCAGAAAGACGCTGGATGGCTGATGTAGGGGAGAAGAGAGAAACACCTAGGAGGAGAAAAATGACCGAGAAAACAGTGAGGGGCTTCCACAGTGCTGCAAAATCATAAGCATTTATTAAATTACAGTGTTGAGATAGGACAACACTTAAGTGTTTTAAAGTAATTTACCCCCTTTGGGTGTTTGGTGTGAATGGGTGGGGAGAGGTGGAGGAAGACAGTGCTTTGAAGCCCTTGCTGAGAGGATGTGGTGGGGGGCGGGCCAAGGGGCTCAGCTAAGGGCACACTTGGCTTATGTTATCATCTTCCTTAACACTGAAGGTCTGGAGGTAGTTATTCCAACAGAGGGCTTTTCCCTTCCAGATCTAAGACACTGGGTACCCTTAAGGTTTGCCCCTGAAGCCCACAACCACTTTTTAACGCCTGAAACCAGCCAAAGGGATGGTTTGGCTTATAAGACATTCAGTCTGTTGAATTTGGAAAAGGTAGAGAGTTATTAGATTGCCTACATCACAAAGCCTCAAGTGTTTGCTGCTGATTGCACAACTCTAGTTCAGCTTCCTTCTAGTCAACTAGTCCAATGTTTTTGAAGCTTAGAGTTGCAATCCAGGAGTGGATCTTAATATATTAGGTCCAAACCCACAGTTTAAAACATGAAAAAGAAGAGTACAATGGAAAATAGTGTTTTAGGGCCGGCCGAGTGGCGTGTTGGTTAGGAGCTGGCTTGGGACACCAGCTCTGAGCAGTAGGGTGCCGGTTCGGATCCCTCATGTGGGCCAGTGATGCTGCGCCCTCTACAGCTAAGATGGTGAACAACAGCTTGACCTGGAGCTGGGCCGCCGTGAGTGGCCAGTGACGGTGTAGGCTGTAGCGGGGCTGGCCGGCAGCAGGCGTGAGCTTTCGTTAGCTGCCATGAGCCGCAGTGAGCGGCCGTCAAATGGCCAGTGAGTGACTGCCTCACCTGGGAAGAGTACAGTGATGATACCAACATGGGCCAGTGAAGTGACGTCCTCCACAACTAGACTGAAGAACAAAAAAGGACAGCAACTTGTCTGTTCCCCTTCCCCGATTCCCCAATGCTGTTCCCCTCCCCCAATTCCCCAATAAAACCTTTAAAAAAAAGAAAGAAAATAGTGTTTTAGAAAACAAACATTGAATTTTAATGTCAAACCTATTGCTTAATGTGGGTTGTGGTAAAAAAAAAATCTGTATTAATAATTCTGGAGACCCTGGGAATCTACATTTTTAACCAATTTGCCAGAGATTCTGATGAAAGTGGTTTATTGGGCCAGACTTTAAGAAATAATTAGCTGCCCTTTTGTCCTTACAAAATACTATTGGTTTTTATCTCCTGCAAGAATTATTTCCAAATGTCGAATCAGATGCAGTAAAAGCACAGACTGTTGAGTTAACTTTGAATTGCTACTGTTTATATAACTTGCTGGTGAGCTAGGCCCTGATGCTGCCATCTTGGTGAAACTGGAAACTCAAGGGGCATGACTCACTTTCATGATATGGAGAGGCATTAGATTCGTCCATAATAACTCTTTAGCCTTGCTTAGAATAAGACGACTGAAGATACTCTTTTCTGGCCAACTTTTAATGTAGAGTTTTTGAGGTCTTTAAGCTTTTGAGGTCTTTGGAACTTTGCTCAACTTTTCCTTTCCTATTTTACACCCGTACTCCCCATATGCATGACTGTACTTACTTTCAGAAGTTTGCAAAGACAGTAGGGATTTCTTCTGGTGGCTGCCGCACTGCTGTGATACATAATTAGATTGAACATTTTAGCTGACCAGGGCTTGGGACTGGCCAACCAAAGACGAAAGAGGCTGAGGACCTCAGCACTGTCCCAAACATAAGGGTTTTGAAAGGCCAACCCTCCAGGGGACAGAGTGTGGCTTTAGTGACATTCGTGTGG